AAGTCGAACATAGCCAAATGACATATATATATATATATATATATATATATATATATATAATGGAACGTTATTTGTACTATTTTGTTTAAAGATATTACAGTTTTCAAATTTTTATATCACTTCTACTTACAAATATACTCAAAATAATATAGTATTTTATTAAATCGCACAGTTAATATAAGTCAGATATACGTTACACTATAATATTCAACTTAAGAGATTAGAAATTGCAAAATGATACCATCAGGTGCGATTGATCTGATTGATAATTAATTATAGGCAGATAAGGTGGTAATGAGACATTAGTAAACAATATAAATTTAGCATGTTGAGTAAACGTTTACCTGTCGGTTGAAAAATTGTCATAAATATACTGAAGCACGCAATGTTAATAAGCACTATAATATTTATTACGTCTTTTCGATTGCATTATATTTTGCTATCGCGTTCTCATATCGATGAGTACATTCACAGGTTAAGTCCCTCTTGACAATGACGCATAGTGTGATGCAAACTTTGGAGGACGATTGATTGTCCGGTGGATTCTTACAAAGCATTCTGTGTATACAAACATATATACAGACCAAAAATCACGCTCTTTATCTTATTTACCGCGAGTAACAACAACAAAAAAATGCAAACGTAATCTCACGAGAAATAACGAAGAAAATGATATAAAGAATATATATATGAAATAAATATATTTTCTTTGTGTGCTTACTCTAATTCGAACTCTTTTCTATTATATTAAAACTACAATACGAACGATATAAATCCAACTGATAAGTCGGCGTTATACAAATTTATTCAAATTCCTGTATTTAATTTGTCTCTTCCTGATGAAAGAGACTTAAGAATCTCAAACTCACAAAGAAAATATGACTCTGGAAATGAAAAAAGCTATTCCATATAGTGAGAAAGAGAATGGTAACAAAAAACAGAGCACAGACTTTCCTATGGCAGATGTAAAATATAATACTCTTGAGGAGGAAATTCTAAATCATGTGGCCAACAGCAAAGCAATTTTCAAGAGCCAACAGAAAGGAGAACCAGAGTTGACGTATGAAGAGAAGCGTGCCATAGCTGAGAAATTGTTCAAAAAGAATTACTGCTTATTCCTATCCAAATTTGGACACTACTTGAAAGCGGAGCACTTGGAATACTTTAGTAAAAGCGAGGATTATGAGACGGTTTATCATATAAATAGACTACAGAGATATTTTAATAATTCTACAAGACGTATTGATGTAAGGAACAAAAGATATGAAGCTCTGAAGGCATTAATAGAAAAAGGGGAATATTTCAGTGAATGTGAAATGATGAAGAGGAATCCGTTATTGTATGAACATCTGGTAGGACAATATTTGACAGAAGAGCAAAAGAAAGCTAGAGATACGATTGACACACGTAGCATAAATTATATTGATATATTAATGGAAACTGTTGAAAGGAACAAAATGCAAAAACATCTGGAATCTCAACAAGAACAGGAGGATGAAGTACAAGAGGAAAATGATTCAGATGAAGATGATGATGATGATGAGAATGATAATAGCAGAAACAGCAATATATCTAAAACAAATTTTAATAAACAAATTCAACCTCACTGGGGTGAAAATTTAAATAAAATGATTGATAAAGACAGAGATAAAAAATTATTAAATAGTAAAATGCAACATAAAATATCAAACCAAGAAATACAATTACTCAGGCAAGAATTTGTTACAAACATGTATGAGAGTTTCCTGGACGGTAAAGATAAAGATTTCGATTATAGGTATATTTATTATACTAATGAATATAAATACAAAATGAAAACATGTTTACATGATTAAACAAATATTGATATCTTAATATATATTTATATATGTAATTATTTCTTAAAATACATATACAAATATCTTATAAAAGATATAAACTATATAATATTAACATATATTTGTGTTCATGAAATAATTTTTAAAATGAATTCAAGTACAAGATATATGTGTATCCCTTTTCTCCACACACACATATACACATTTGTCTTCTTTTATTTTTTATAACAACTAAATAGTAGAGAGGTATAGAAATTTTTTGTTGGTATTTAAAAATAATTGTTTTACTATATATCTTTGTCATTTATTTGCAGCACTGTAGATGATAATGAAGCTTATGATAATGTAGAATTGAGGAATCAAGATGAAGAAGAAAAATATTTTGATTCCGAAGCCCCTGAAATTGTTCTTCCACGTAATGAATGTAATGACCAAAACGAATCTGAAGATGAGTTGGATGTGTATATGAGAACACTGAAGGTTAAATAATATTTTACACTTTACAATTGCCTCGCTATTGTTGGCATTGATTCACAGAAAGGTTATTTATCCATTAGGAACAGACATCTACAAATCCACATTCTTTGGATAATCAATAGCCCAGCATACATTAGGTTATATATAATAAATACATTTATATATAATTCTAATTGTATATGTTTATTATAGAGTACTATATACCCTCCTCCCCTTTTTCTATTGCATTTTAATTTATAAAAAATATCAATTTTGAGAGATAAGATATATTGAGCTGTACATTTTATCCTATTGCAAAATATTCTTTTCAGTCTAAAATTAATTAAAATATATGATTTCTTTTAATATAATTTACAAAAATATCGAAGATTTGTTATTGTCAACTATTTTATTCTTTTTTGCCGCCGCAAATTGCTTAATTTTATCTATTACTTTAAATATGAAAAATTAAAATTAATTAGCTTAATTTAATTTATTTTATTTGTACTTTTGCCTATTTGTATTCAAGTTTAAACACATGCTCAACGAACCGATATACATAAATACATATATGAATCATAGAAATTATCTATCAAAACCAATCGGAGAGAGATCTCTATAGAATCATATGGAATTCTAGCCAAAGTTGAGCGCGTCTGGTATCTTGTCAAAACGAGTATCGCACAGAGAAGTGCAAAACGATTAATTGTGTACTTTTTTCAAGAAAATGGTAAGAATCGTAGTATTTTGAATGTTTAGCAATGTTGCTCGCAAAAATAAATATTTTGTTGTAGATTATATCCGTGTAGTGATCGTCGCATGAAAAATTAGCTAAGCGTTGTAAAGGTTATGCTTGCAAAAAGTTGTGAGAATTGTTTCGTGGGGATTTTTTTAAAAAGCAATAATATGTAGAAATAGAATAATTAATTATTTGTTTCCATGCGAACTAATCAGCGTTTATATAAATTGTAAAGAATATAAATTTTTATTTTTAAAATAAACTTTTTAAATTATTCCTAAACCATATCATTATATTTTTTATATATATTTTTATATTGTTTTTTAATGTAGGCAAATATATTTATATAGAAAATATTAGTATGCTTGATATATTGTAACAGTAATATTATGTATATAGGAATCAAGAATTACATTTTGCCTCTTAATGCTTATCTTTAATCATGAGTAGATTAGTTGCAGTAGCTTGTTTCAAACAATGTATTCCTAATGCTTAAGCATTTGTAGTGCATGCTTGAGTTGTGTGGCTTACCTAGTACGGTACTACCTGGTATCCCCCTGGTAGGTATCTTTATTTTTTTCACAGCCAATGACACCTGCCATAACAGGAATGGAGGAGCAAGAGAAGTTGTTGGAAGATGCTATCGGCGTGGTTAAAGTTCAAGCTTTTCAGATGAAACACTGTTTAGACAAGGCTAAATTGATGGATGCACTAAAACATGCCTCCACTATGTTAGGAGAACTCAGGACTTCTCTTCTCAGTCCAAAGAGCTACTATGAATTGTGTATCCTTATTAGTTATTTAATTTCAGTGACTGTTTGAATTATAATATTTAATACGAGTATTTGATTTTGGTTTATTTGTGATGTAGCTATTTCTTATAACAATTATTATTAGATATGGCGATCACAGATGAACTACGGCATTTAGAACTTTATTTGTTGGATGAATTTCAAAAAGGAAGAAAGGTTACAGATCTTTATGAATTAGTACAATACGTTGGCAATATTGTGCCTAGACTGTTTAGTACGGTACTACCTGGTATCCCCCTGGTAGGTATCTTTATTTTTTTCACAGCCAATGACACCTGCCATAACAGGAATGGAGGAGCAAGAGAAGTTGTTGGAAGATGCTATCGGCGTGGTTAAAGTTCAAGCTTTTCAGATGAAACACTGTTTAGACAAGGCTAAATTGATGGATGCACTAAAACATGCCTCCACTATGTTAGGAGAACTCAGGACTTCTCTTCTCAGTCCAAAGAGCTACTATGAATTGTGTATCCTTATTAGTTATTTAATTTCAGTGACTGTTTGAATTATAATATTTAATACGAGTATTTGATTTTGGTTTATTTGTGATGTAGCTATTTCTTATAACAATTATTATTAGATATGGCGATCACAGATGAACTACGGCATTTAGAACTTTATTTGTTGGATGAATTTCAAAAAGGAAGAAAGGTTACAGATCTTTATGAATTAGTACAATACGTTGGCAATATTGTGCCTAGACTGTATGTATCTGCTTTGAAACTCTGTATTATCACTTCCTGATTATGTAAAGCAAGAAAATCTGGTTAATATTCCAGCTACTTACTCATTACTGTTGGTTTGGTTTACATAAAAACAACTCCTGGCTTGAAAAGGGATCTTTTAAGAGATCTTGTAGAAATGTGCAGAGGTGTACAACATCCGTTACGCGGTTTATTCTTAAGAAATTATTTATTACAATGCACAAGGAATATTTTGCCAGATGTTACCGAAGGTGACGATGAAGATGGGACTGTATGTATCCTATAAATCGTGAAATTTTTCTCTCTCTTAAACACATAATTATTCCTAAAATTTTATTTTCAGGTTCGTGACAGCATAGATTTTGTTCTGATGAATTTTGCAGAAATGAATAAATTATGGGTACGCATGCAACATCAAGGTCATAGTAGGGATAGAGAAAGAAGAGAAAGAGAAAGAGAAGAACTTAGAATTCTAGTGGGAACGAATCTTGTACGACTTAGTCAATTGGAATCTGTAACATTGGATAAATATAAGAAGGTATATTATATAGACATATGCATATATATTTATATTATCTTTTAATCTAATTTTATTAAACATTACAAATATATTTTCAGCTTGTATTACCAGGAATATTGGAACAAGTTGTTAGTTGTAGGGATGCCATAGCACAGGAATATCTTATGGAGTGTATAATTCAGGTAAAATTCAGTATATTTTTTTATGTGCCGCGAATGTTCTTTATCTTAAAAAAGAATAATGCATTTTTTATATGTCTAGGTTTTTCCTGATGAATTCCACTTACAAACATTAAATGCATTCTTAAAATCTTGTGCAGAATTGCAAAATGGAGTGAATGTTAAAAACATTATTATATCACTAATCGATAGACTTGCAGCCTTTAGTCAACGGTCCGACGGCGTAGGAGGGCCGGGAAGTCCTAATCAAGTATCAGGAATTCCACAAGATGTCAAACTTTTTGATGTATTTAGTGATCAGATTGCTATTATTATACAGGTATCTATTAAATAGAATAACCTTTATTATTAATTGTATGAAAATGACCGTTCAATGATGATTAGATACTGCACAATATTTGACAATTCTATGATTTAGAAAGCTAAAAATTCCTTATCATCTAGTTTAAGTCTGAGAATTGGTTCCAAGATATCTTATACACACATTACACTTTAATTACAGTATATGTACTATCTATTTGACCAGGTATTTATTTTTTTATAGACAAGGCAAGATATGCCTCCTGAAGATATTGTGTCCCTTCAAGTAGCTCTCATAAACTTAGCGCATAAATGCTATCCAGATCGAGTAGATTATGTAGATAAAGTTTTGTTTACAACAGTCCAAATATTCCAAAAACAAAACGTCGATAAGTAAGTTTAAGCAATTTATTATACATGTTGGCAGGTTTTTATATTTTGCATATTAAATATCTGTGTGTGTGTGTTTTTTTCTCAGGCTGGAGTATAATAGTGCCGTTTCGAGAGAGCTAGTTAGATTAATGAAAATTCCTGTAGATAATTATAAGAATATATTAACTGTGCTTAAACTTGAGCATTATGCACCTCTTTTGGATTATTTCGATTATGAGGGCAGAAAATCCCTAGCTATATATATAATAACAAATATTTTGGAAAACGAAACATTGATACCGATGCAAGAGCAAGTGGATGCAGTGCTCTCTATGGTATCTCCTTTAATACAAGATCAGCCAGATCAACCAAATATAGAGGAAGATCCTGAAGATTTCGCCGAGGAGCAAGGCCTGCTTGGTAGACTAATACATCATTTTAAATCGGAAACACCGGATCAGCAATATATGATACTAAGCGCTGCAAGAAAACATTTTAGTGCTGGCGGTAACAAAAGAATTAAATACACTCTGCCGCCCATAGTGTTCCAAAGTTATCAATTAGCCTTTACATATAAAGCATTGAAAGATCAAGTTTGTAACTTCTGTACCTAAAATGAGATAAAATCATTTAATAATGATATTAACTGACGTTCTCTTGGTTTTTTTAGGACGAAATGTGGCAAAAAAAGTGTCAAAAAATTTTTCAATTTTGTCACACGACTATCACGGCACTGATGAAGGCCGAATTAGCCGAATTACCTTTAAGGCTATTTTTGCAAGGTGCAATAGGGATCGGCGAAATCCGCTTTGATAATTTCGAAATGGTCGCTTATGAATTTATGAGTCAAGCGTTCTCGATATATGAGGATGAAATAAGCGATTCAAAGGCGCAGCTCGCGGCGATCACTTTGATCATCGCTACGTTTGAACAAATGAGCTGCTTTGGTGAAGAAAACGCAGAGCCTGTGCGTAATCAGTGCGCTTTGTATGCTAGTAAATTGTTGAGAAAGCCTGATCAATGTAGAGGAGTCGCTACTTGTTCACATATATTTTGGTCAGGAAAATCTTTAGCTACAGGCGGAAAAGAGGTACGTACGAATATACATCGATCTAAATGATTATTTGAGAGATAAATTATAGGAGAAATAATATATAACTTCACAGATGCAAGAAGGCGGTAAAGTATTAGACTGTTTGAAGAAAGGTATTAGGATAGCAAGCCAATGCATGGATACATCGGTGCAAGTGCAATTGTATGTGGAATTGTTGAATCATTACATTTACTTCTACGAGAAAGGAAATACTGCTGTAAGATTCAATCACAGAATAGCTCGTCAACTTATTTTTTATGTGAGTTGCCCTTTCCAATTTGATCATTTTTTAGGTGACCGTGCAAATATTGAATCAAGTGATTGCGAAAATTAGAGAAGAGCTTCCCAATTTGGAAGCGAGTGAGGAAACTGATCAAATACAAAAGCATTTGGCGAATACATTGGAGCATTTAAGAAACAGAATGGAATCGGCGGACTCTGACGGACTTTCTTATCAAGGCCTTGTTCTGTAATTGCATAGAATCGGCATTGTAATTTTGTAAATAAAAGACTTCTAGAATATGGACAATATTATGGGTTGATAGTATCAACAAATATTAGCATTAATTATCATCCTGATTAACTCAATTTTCATTTTGTATCTTTATTGCAAACAGGATTGTAAACTATATTGTAAACAATAATTCGAAATTAATTAATTGCGATTGTTATAACATATTAATAGCTGTACAATTATTTCTTAATTGGATAGATGTTTATATTAAATTGTATATACAAGATGATTTGTTAAAAATATATCAAGCATACATATATCTTTGGAATTAGAATTATATGTGTATACTCTTTAAAAAAACAATTTATTATGATTCAAACGATCTATATAGTTACTCCACCTCAGCGGTATTTATTTCAATTTCTTGTTCACTCGACGTTCGCTAAACGCTGCAAGCGCCAAGTGGCCATAGCAGTATTTAACCTCTACCACGTGTCAAACTACCGCATGTAGTAGAACGATTATTTGTGTTCGCATATAAATTAATACATACTGGAATCGTATTTGTGTGTATGTGCAATTATTAGTGTTAATTAATCAAAGCTCCGTATTTTAAAAGAAAAATGGGTAAAGGGCGAAAAAATAAGCCGAAAAAGAACTTCGCTGAAAAACGTCGCGAGAAACTAAAAGTATGACTAATAATCATTAATATCAGAGCTACATAAAAAAATAAGAGATTATATTTATACAAGACTATAAAAATTATAAATATTTAATGATAAATAATTAAATTATGAAATTATAATTTATATACACATATCCTTATGTATTTTAGATAGATTTAATATAGATGCATATGTGTGTGTATATTTTAAACATCTTCAAATTTTTTTCTTATCTGATTTAATATTTGATAGCAATGTAAATTTAAAAAGTTATATATTGATATATAATTAATATTTGTAGAAAAAGAATGAATGGAATAATACTCCCCATAGAAGTTATGCCGATATTATCAGGGAGAACAAAGATTTTGAGAATTATTATAAGACGCAAGGAATAGTTCCAGAAGATAAATGGGATGCGTTTATCAGCACTATGAGAACCAATCTGCCAGTTGCTTTTCGTATTACTGGTTCAAAAGCTGAAGCTAAAGTCTTATTGGAGATAATCAAAAGTGATTTCTTTAAAGAAATTTTAAATGCAAATTTGAATGATAATAAGGAAGATTTTAACAATGATGTAAAGACTATATTACATAGTTTACCCTTTTATCCGGAGGAATTGGCATGGCAATTACAATTAACTAGAAAAGATATTAGACGATCTGAAGCATATTTTAGGCTGCATAACTTTCTCATCGCTGAAACTAACAATGGTAGTATCAGCAGACAGGAAGTAGTTAGTATGGTTCCTCCTTTGGTGTTGGATGTCAAACCTTCGCACAAGGTACTTTTTTAAATTTATTAAAATTATTTACAAAATAGTAGACAAAATAAAATACACTAATTCTATCTATAGGTTCTTGATATGTGTGCAGCACCGGGATCCAAGACAGCGCAACTTATAGAAATGATACATGCAGATGAAGGAAATATTCCTCCAGGTAACTAATACTAAGTTCAGTTAAGAGAAATAAGCATTATATACAGTAAATAATAAGCATTATATACAGTAAATAATAAGCATTATATACTAAATGCTTGTTTTACAGAAGGGTTTGTAATAGCCAACGATCTTGACAATAATCGCTGCTATATGCTGGTGCACCAAGCTAAAAGACTGAACAGCCCAAACATTCTTATTACAAATCATGATTCATCTGTTATGCCCAACTTTATAATTACTAATCCAGATGGTACAAAAGACACATTAAAGTAGGTAATTCAAACTCGGTAATGAATGATTATTTATATATTAAGAATTTTTATATAAACTTTTTGTTTTTTGATAGATTTGATAGGATACTTGCAGATGTCCCATGTAGTGGTGATGGCACTATGCGAAAGAATCCAGATATTTGGTGCAAATGGAGTCCTGCTAATGGCAATAATCTTCATGGGTAAAAATAAGCTTAATCTGCTATAAATTTATATGTTAAATAATAATGCAGAAATTAATCTTAACTTTTTTGCAGAATTCAATATAGAATAGCAAAACGTGGCTTGGAATTGCTAACAGTTGGAGGGAGAATGGTATATTCTACATGTTCATTAAATCCAATAGAAAATGAAGCAGTGCTTCACAGGCTTCTTTGTGAAACTGGAGACTCAGTACAGTTAATTGATTGTAGAGACTTGGTACCAGGATTGTTATGCGACCCTGGTTAGTCTTCAGATTAACAATATTTGAAATATTTGTAAAAGAGATTACTTTTGAATCTTTTAAAATTTACTGTGTATGGTAATATAATACTATATTTCAGGCGTTACACACTGGAAACCAGCATCTAAAAATTTACAATACTATAACACTTGGGATGATGTTCCAGAGCAATGGCAGACGCAAGTACGGCCGAAAATGTTTCCTCCACAAGCGAACGAGGCTTCCACATTTCATCTTGAACGTTGGTAAATACCAAATAATTTACCAGATATAAATGTATCATTTTTGTAGACTACATTTTTTATTTTGCCGATTATATAGTATGAGAATATTACCACATCATCAAGATACTGGAGGTTTTTTCGTGGCTGTACTGGAGAAAGTAAAATCTCTGCCGTGGGAAAGCGAAGCCTATACATTAAATCAGAATGTACCGAATCTAAGTAATATAGAAAACAAGGATGGACTCATTCCTAAAGAAGAAACTTCACAAGACAAGCTTTCAGAAAGTGGAAAAAGAATATTAGAAGAAGAAAAGAAATCACGAGACTTACAAAGGAAACGAAGAAGGATTGTTGGCTATAGGGAAGATCCGTTTGTTTTTTTCAAGGATGAGACGGAAGATGTATGGCAGTCTATAAAGTGAGTTTGAATTTTTTTTATTAGTATAATGATTTTTTTTTATATTTTATCATCAATATGTTTTCAGAGATTTTTATGGTATATCTAATGATTTGGATCCGCAATGTCTGCTAGTAAGATGTCACGAAGGAAAGAAGAAAAATATTTACTTTACATCGCCGGCAATTCGTGACATAGTGATATCTAACGAAAATAAAGTCAAAATGATTAATACTGGCGTTAAAACTTTTGTGCGATGTGACAATAAAAATATGAATTGCGCCTTTAGACTTGCTCAAGAAGGGATGCAGAGTATCATTCATTACATAAGTGATAACAGAAAGCTTAAAATTTCGAGAGAAGATTTAATAATGCTTTTACAAAGTGATGACCCACACACACCACCTGAAATTGTAAAATTAAATCCAGATACTCAAGAACGTCTCAAAGACTTCAGTAAATATAATAATGCCGAGTTTTTTTACTTTTACACGATAATATACAAACATATATATTTGAAAAATATATTTAATTTTTAAGCAACTGGAAGTTGTATACTGTTATACAAAGAAGAGAAGACTGACAATATAAATCAGCTAAATCTTCAACTGGTAGGGTGGAGGGGAATAATGTCTCTCAGAGCATATGTGCCTACTTGTGATGCGATTCACTACTTACGGCTTTTAGGAGCAGATTGCTCTAAATTTGGTATGTTTTACTATGTGAATATAATACAATATTATACTGTCACGGAAGAAGACGATTATTTACATTACAATTTTGCAGAGAAAAACAAATTCAAGGAAAATCGCGCAGCCGCATTAGTCGAGGACGCCAATAACGATGAAATCGGAACTGAAGATTGATAAAAGAATTGTAATGGGGAATGGTAATGGCATAAAAGAAAGTCGACGACGCAGAAATACTGACTGAAACTAATGAATCATTCATTACGTAATTATAATTTGTCAATTTTTCTAATTTCTTACACGCATCCTTTTTGCCATGTGCTATATTTAAATGAAATATTGAAATTGGATTTTTTATTTAACCTGAACATTACTTTTATTCGATCTAGTGATAACCGAATGTTGATACTAGAATAACATGGTACAAATTATATTATGAATGAGTTATAAATACAAAATATAATTTCGTAGGATAAAAACTTCGACAATGGAATGATGATAAAATGATTACTTTTACTACCCATTTGCTATGAAATAACTTTTATGAAATTACATGCGATAAGCAGCTTTCCGTTTTCTAATCCCTATATGATGCATCTCGCCATAATATATAGTACAAATTTTTCTTATAAATATGGCCGGATGCGAAGGAATCATTAATTCCGAAATGAATTGATGTTTTTATAACATCTGATATCACTACATTTAATAATTGATGCATCCCTGCAAATTTCATGAGTATCATGCGATAACGATGCGAGAAAGAATGAAATCTGTTAACAACTTCTGGTATTTCTTGCCTTGACTTTCAATCGAGTCATATCTTCCGCAAATTCACTTGATATAAGCGTGTCATCTAAAATTTTACACATTAGGATTTTCAACTTACAATTAAAATCTCTCAATATGGATCTCTATCAATATAAAGGACGGGTTCTGCTATAAAAATCATTTAAATATAGGTACAAATATGAAAAAGGCTGGACAGCTCATAACATATATGTATATATATAAACTATAAAAAGAAATAAAATAAAAAATCTTCCTAAGATTTGTCGAATTCCTCCATTGGTTTCGAGGTTGATGCCTGATGCTAGTAGTCCCTACCCGTTGGCGATGTTAACTTGCCGCAGACATTTTGCGAGTTAGATGGCGATTTCGAACCTGGAATCATAAGAATTTCAAGTTCCATTAAAATTATATAAAACAATTCATTTTGTTGCTCTACATATAACTATTGCTTCTCTGTATTTGTAAAGAATCTTTTTATATATATATACATATACACACACATACTCATAGAAAGAGAGAAAGAATATTTTTACGTTTGTCATAAAAAAATAATATAGCTTAATATTTTATTA